CTCTATCCCAGCCAAAACCAGGACAACCAGCTTAGCTCTAGTTGTTCACACTAGAAGCCCAGTACCAGAGATGACCAGGCCAGCTTAACCTATTGTAGTTTTTAGAAAGAGTAGTCACAGATCAGCTTTTCTCTTTCTACAGAGATATCACAATTTCTTCAGCATGCTCACACTTGTGGCTTGAGCCAAAAGTATTTCAGGATAATCTAAATTAACAGCATAGTTCTGGAAGGCTTGGCAGGAAGGTCCATCCAGTCATGTAACCTGGGAAGACTGTAAATATGCAAAAGGGTCAAAAGACACAGAGTACACAGACAGGAAAACAAGTGGGTCATTGATAGGTTCCCACTAACTACTCTCTTCCCTCACTTTTCATTTCCAGGATTTCCTTCCTAAACTAGCACTTAATATAGCACTCATTTATGCTTCCATACAGCAAACTCCAAGAGAAGACACACCTTTCCTCCAATGATAAGGCCAGCTGAGAACTCATGATTCTTTCCCACTTTACGCAGAACCTTGAAGGTTTGATACGCCAGTTCCCGGGTAGGCGATATGATCAAAACTCCCAGTCCATCAGCTGAAGTCCACTGATGGCGATACAGGAGTTCCAAAGCCTGAAAAAAATTACCATATTGTCATTATAAAAATCTCAGAAGGAAAATATGTAACAAGAACAGATTTGTAACAAGAAGTGTCATAAAAAAAGATAAAGCCACACTAATTAAAATAATGACTTGAAGAAACTTCAATATACATTTCACATAGTTTGATTATATATCAATTCTAACTGATGGAAATGATACTTGCTGTAGGAAAGTTCCCCAGTACCAATCTATGAGACAGTAATGGGTGGTAAATTGTAAACATTTTACTGCACAGTTAATCCTACTCTGCTAAATTCTGGAAATTAAGCCTTAATCATTTATACGAGAATAGAAATCAGATGTAGAAAACCATGAGAAACTTCCCTGTTCGTAAGATTTTGTGGGAACCAGAAACAGAATAAGCAACTAGAAGAAAGTCAATTATTGCAGCTTTAATTCTGGTTATAGACTTGAAGCTGTACTATCCACACATGCTATATACAGAGCATTCCAAGTAAAGTTGCCATAAACCTCAGACCAGGATGATTCCTCCTCTTATGAATTCACACTGCAGAAACACTGTCTTAGTCAGCTAATCCTAACACAAAGATTTCATAGGTATGAATACCTGAAGCATTCTGAAATACTGAAGGTTGTTAAGCATCCTTGTACAATTAAATATTTTTTTTTCACTCTTCATCTCTCCAGCTCATCTCTCATCGCTTTTCTCCCCTAAAACTGTTTTAATATAAGGTTTGTAAAACAAAGTACTTCTACTTCCAGATTAACTAATTGAGCAATCTCACTTTTGTTTCTCAAGTTCACAAGACTATCTTTTGAGGGCACCTTTTTTTTCATTCTTTACTAATAAAAAATAAATTTTAAAAAACCAGCATAGAGCATAAATCTCTTCAGCTAAAGAGAGTATTCAAAACACCTACTACTGTTCCCACAGTTACCGACAGAATAGGCTCCAAAGAAATCTATGCTCACAAAAATGCAAGTAATGTTTAAACCAAAAAACGCTCCATAATCAAAACAACGTTTCTTTTTCCCTTTATCTAATCATAACATGATGCGTTTTGTATCCACTTATATGTGCACTTTAAGCAAATGTCTCAATTATACGTTCAACCTGAAGAAATGAAATGCAGAGCATGACGTTTGGAGTAAAACAGTCAAACGTACTATCCATGACAGGGGTTTTCATCCTGTTTTCCTGCTTGCACCTGGAAGTGATTTCTAAGAAGTCCACAAAAGACAACAAGGAAATGGAAGTCCACAATCACTAAGCTTAAGTTTGCTACATAAAGTCCAAATCCTGAAGTTTTAAAAGGGTGAAAACCACTCATCTAAAAAAAGCCTAAGGAACTGAAGAAATGTCACCATTCTATTCCATACAGTTAGTTTTCAAATTTTAAAAGAATTGGACAACTAGAGTTGCACCAGGAAAAGAGATTCCTGAAAGAAAAACAAAGCAGTTCCTAAATCACACAGGGTCTACTAATGTAAGGATCAAAATGGAATTTCTAAGCATCAGAATATTCCTAGGACCAAAAATATACTTCTTTCAGAACCTCAAGCAGCTTTATTAAATTGGCTTTCTTGGAACATTTAGGTCAGTTGAATTATAACTTTTCTCCCAGGATCTATTAACCTAAGCTGTTTGACATCCAATACTTCCCAGATAACTTGCTTTAATTACAAATGGAAGAATGTAAATTACTTACTGGGACAATAAAAGCCAAGGTTTTGCCTGATCCAGTCTTTGCAGCTCCCAGTACATCTTTACCTTGTAAAGCCAAACCTATGGTTTGCCTCTGTATCTCCGTTACCACACGATACTGAGCTTCCTGCAATCCTAATATTTGCAGTGTGGGAAGAGAAGAGAGAGTGTGGGAGGGGAAGGAAAAAAAAAAAGGAGAAAAAAAAAATTTTTATTTTTGTCTTGCCCAGAGCTGTATTCCTCCATTTAGAAAACACCATACATGGCAATACTTATCTAAAACTTAAAGCAAAAAAATGTTCAGATGCAGATAAATAATACATTCATTTTTACTTAAATTACTTTCCAAAGAAAACTTTTGTACTCACCTTTTAGGGTTTTCTTTGACAATGGAAAATCTGAAAATCTTTGAATTTCACTTGCATTTATCTGAAACAAAATAAGTTTCATCAGTGCTTACAATCTCAGCATAACAGAGAAAATAAATAGCACTCTAAGTTGCTGTCAACATAAACATGTAGTAGTTCAGTATGACCTGATCCAAGTTAGCCAGTTTCACTTAAGCCAAACCACTCCTCTACCATAAACTATTTAGTAAGTAATAAGATATACTTTGATCATGCAGGCTAATAGCGCAACTTAAAGCTCAGATCATCACGAAATCACAGAACAATTCAGGCTGAAAGGGACCTCAGGAGGCCTCTGCTCCAACCTCCCACTCACAGCAGGTCAGCTCTGAGGTCAGAC